GTCTCTGGGAAGTGTTTTGTAGGTTTCCTTTGAGGATCAGGACTGAGAGATTGGAGAGAGTGGTTTTCTTGTGAGAAATGTGCCCCCACAGGTAATTGGGTATTTCTGTCTTTGATGCTTGCTTACACACTTGTGCATGAACATACAGGTTTATGTTGCAGCTTTTACTAGTGATTTTTAATAGGCATCTGCTTACCTTTCTGGTGAATGGAACGCCTACAGTGGCAGGTCACAAGTATATTCTGGCTGCATCAGGCACAGGACTTCGGACTACCAGCCCACACCCACCTACCCTGCCATCCTTGTCCAATCCTAGAGATGCCAAACAAACAATTGGTTGCTAACAGCTCAGCTTTATTAATGATATCCATCACATGCAATAATACTTTAACAGTGGATGTCTGAACTTAATGTGTACAACTTTACAATCAACCAAGGTAGTAACAGGTAGCTTGTAACAGGTAGTTGACCTGTTCCAAGCACACAGCCTGGAATAGTCTTCTTTTACCAGAAGCTGTTATTAATCCCAGTCCACCTAGCCAAATGCCTTTTCAGGCTACATTAACTAGACTCACCTATACGAATAATAACACGTGTCCTCCTAGGGTTGTCCCCCAGCACCTGGCAGAACTCTTTTCTTTCAATACAGCTACATTTAAAGCTTGCCTATATTTCCCCTCATTCTAGATCCATTTGGGAGTTCTCTCTCTAAATCTGCCCTATAAATTACACTGATTATCATCAGGGACATTAAGAACCTACATGCAACTTTAAAAATCCAATGTGCGTGTTGGGGGTGGGGGGAGGAAAGAGGGGGAATATAGCTTGATTGATATCTCATATTTATTTTAATGTATTTCAGGGAATGGAATGTTATTTCAGTGGTCTTCAGATTTTATTAAGCTGTTACTAGCTTTTTTTTAAGACAGTGGTATGATTTTGTAGAACCCGTCCTTCAGGATAGAATGCTTCATGAAAGGTCATCAGAAACAATATCTACCCAGAAAGACTGTCCTGTGGCTCAAGTCCAGCTGTATTAGCCAGCCACAAGCATAAGCTCCTTGGTGGCACTAGACAATTAGAATACACACTCCACTGCTAAAATTAGGAAGGTCATATTTCATTATAATAGGGAAGAGAACTACATCTCCCATCATGCATCACAGATAACATTTCTGAGAGCTATGATACTCTAAATAAATGAATACAAAGGGACAAATCCTCAGCTGTTGTAAGTTGGAGTACTGCCATGACTAAAGGCTAAATTTTGCAGGCCTCAATGGCAATGATTTTGACCTCAATGGCAATGATGAGAATTGCAATTTTACCTGAACAATTTAACCCAAAGAATCTGACTAATACAAACAGGGCAGTCCAGAAAAATAATTCAAATTTGGTCCTTATTAGAAGAAATGTATTGTCTTCCTTACCTTCATGCTGCAGGGCACTTTTCCCTCAATGCTTCCATCCATCACCAACAAAATTACAAATGCAAGTCTTTAACTTTGTTCTTATGAGAAAATAAGTTACGGCATTTCCTCTTTGATTTTGGTAGAGCTCAAGCTGCCCTCTAACTCCCTCCTTTCCCTTACACACAAAGATGAGACTGCAAATCTTCCTATTTTACTTTGTACAAGGTAAGTTATTGACCTTTCTGTCTCTTCATTTATCTGCCAAGAATGGCTTAGGTAAGTTCATGTATTTTATATAAGCAGTGTAGGAGGAATGACTTGGCTGGTGTTGCCAGTATACTTATTTGATTTCTTTAATTTGAATGAAACCAGCAATGTTCATTTCCTTGAAATTATTAAATGGGAAGCTAAACTGCTGATTACTTCATGGGCTTTTTTTAAACACTGCTGTGAGCATGGAAGGACAGAAACAGCTGCAGAATTTCCCTGTCTATGGAAAAGATATCATCAGCACTATGCCCTTCAATAAACCAACCACATTGAGCTTGTCTTAAACACAGCAGCACCAAAATGTGAGCTTGCTTACTGATGCAGTATGCAGAAAGTTAGCACTGTCCCCACACAGCAAAGAGTTACTTTCAATTAAACAGAAAGCTGATCTCAATTATAAAAATTACTCTTTATTAATGATTCATGATGATAAATCACTCAATGCACTTCAGTTCACTGTCAGCATCATTAGCACACTCATTAGGAGATGCTCTGTTTTAGATCAGTTGACTACTTTGGTATTTAAACTGAAAACCAAACATAATGACAAACCACTAACATGGGGGCTCAGAGATCAAAAGTGCATAGCATAACATAGCAGAATACAACACAGCACAGCACAGCACATCATCCTTAGCCCATGGGACAAAATCATGAGACCACCTTTCTTCCCTCAGAGACATGCCCTTAAATTATGCCTTTGGCTGTTTGGTACTATCTTCCAAAGCTACACTTTTGAACATTATTGGCTTTAGCTGGTGTATGCACTAAAGCTTTCACATTGCTTCAGAAAACGTGTGACAAACACAACAAGCAAAAGTCTGACCTCAGACTGAACCAAAACTGGAGTAAGTGCATTGATACCAGGGAGCAAATATCAATAAGTAATTATATCAGTGGAACTATTCCACGTTCCAAAATTAAACTTGACACGAAGCCTACAAATTAATCAGTAGGTTAAATAATTAAATTCATTCCTTTAAAATACGTAGACTGCATATGTAGAGTGATTTTTTTTATTTTTCTCCTGAAACAAAAGGCATGAGAGAGTGAGAAAGAGATTCTGGACCAGATCATAATCCCTACACCCCTCACTGGTGGTGGCTACCTTTTCTCCTTCTCATTTGGAAAAATATTCGGTTGGGAAGTGCTGAACAGGAATTGTACATTGTATATGTGTTGGTCTAAGGACATAGGCAGGCAAGGTTGTTTGGGTAGATGTGATATCTTTTATTAGACCAACTAAATAGTTGGAACCCAAAGAACCTTGTCTTGCAAGCTTTTGGGCACAAACACCCTTCTTCAGGCATACAGAGACTCTGCTGCTGTTATATGTTCTCCAAAGTAGAAAAGAAGCTAAAGTATAACAAGAAGTCTGTGAAAATGAAAATGAGTGGAAGTTTGGAGGACAAAGGGTAGAGATAAGAGGGGAGGGAGGGAAATGTGTGAAGGAATGCAAGTAGTCAGCTTAAGGCAGGTTACCTGGTGTGTCAGATGTCAGGCAGGTTGTAACGTATCAAAAATCCAGTGTCTATATTAAGTCCATGATTTTTTGTATCCAGTAGATTTATGAAGTGAAGTTTGTAAACTCATCTACGAAAAGGTGCTTTGTAAATTCCCTTTGAGGATTAGGACAGAGATCAGAGAGGGTGTAATTGTCTTGTGAGAAGTGGGCACCCATAAGTAAATGAATATTTTTGTCTTTGATGGATTTTCAGTGTGTGTTCATTCTGGTGAACATTTATTGTTCGGTTTCTCCTACATATTTTCTAGGAACTGACATATGAAATCCCTGTCAGTGACAGCAATCCCGCTATTCAAAGATGATTTCTACCATGGCTCATTAATAGTACAGAGACTAAAGTCATATTAACTTTGGAATGGAAAGCATTACTTCCTAGATCTCACAGCACTTTACAAAGGAAGTATTATTTCCATTTTGCAGCCGGGAAACTAAAACAGCAAGAAAAGGATACCTGTCCCCAAATCACTAATGAAATCAGGAACTTAAAGCACAATCTCCAATTCTCAGCCCAGCACCCACTTCACAGGCCATCCCACAACGCCTTCCAAGTATAAATAGAGGACCATCAACATCAAAAACTGAAAAACCATATACTGCAATTTAAAAAAAGTAATAGTCACCTATTAGCATTTTAAACCTACTGGCACTTTCAACCATTAAAACTATTCACTCCCCCCCTTCTTCCTCATCTGCATTTCTCTCTGCTTAGAGAGTGAATTGAACTACTCCAGTTTCATTGTCTACTTTATGATAATGCTGGACTGTAAACCCAGCAAGAAAATGTCTGCTTTTAAAACATTTGTTTTCTTCAGCATTTTGAAAGCAGAATTATGGACACATTCCTGATGATTTAGGATTTGTAAGAAAAAGTCATTAAAAATGCAAGACAAAGGAGCTTTTGAAAATTTACAGTTAAGTCCTATTTTCAAAAGTGACTCGCAGCGAGTTTAACTTTAAGTGAGCCCTAGAGTCCTGAAGCTGAGATTTTAAAAAGGTATTTAGTAGCCTAATTCCCATTTAGCTCAGCACCCCACTAAATTATCTGTTCTGCTAAATTACTGGGCTTGAACACGCAGGAAGATGGCAAGGGGACAGGGTTTTTTTTTCTTGGGAGCAATCAAAGGCTTGCGGGGACCTGGTACAGACACAGCGGTCTCTCTGGCACCAAAAAGTTTAGACCAACATTTGGACTAAAATGTCCACTGACAAAATTCCTTCCTGTAGCACAGGATTAATGGCTGAAGCAAATTGAAGAAAATGTACAGTAAATGACTTACTGAGGTGCTAATTGGAAAGTCACTTGTTTCTTTGCTCTTTAGTTAAGGAGCAGACAGAGCAATGTGAAAAGCTGCAGAGTAACTAAGGTGGGGGGGCAACAGGGTACCAACCCCAGGTGCTAATTTGGGACATGTGCAAAAATAGTAGCCACCATGGCCCCAGGCACAGAACTGCCCTGTTACACCTCTGGTCGAGAACACAGTTACTCCATTAAAGAAAGTTAAAACTGTATCCATTTGCATTGCCACCTTTCTTACGTTTACTAGTACTTATGTTACTACCAGCCTAAAAATAAAATAAAAAAAATCTCAGTAAGGAATTACTGGCTTAGAGAATGATGAACCATCAAAACAACAAATTCTTGAACACAAAACGGGCCTATCAGGTAGGGGAGCTTTTATCAGTATCTTCACTTTTATATGGGAAAAGACCTTACTAATAGGGCTAGAATCCTAAAATGCCTGTAAGTTCATGTATCTATAATTTACTGGTTACTCTGTGCTTTCAGCAATGCAAGAGCAATGCAATGTTCTAAATAAAGAACAAATAGTACCTTATGGTGAACTAGTACCTGGATACCTAAAGGTATTTAGATGCCTAAATACCTTTGAGAATCTGATGTGTAGGTACCTCTGATGAAAAGAACATGAAACCTGGAATTTAAGTCAGTATGAGAAGTGCAACTGGACTACTTGCTAGGACAGGGGAAAGGAGGAAATTGAAAATGCTCCCCCTAATTTTCCCAAAAAACATGAACAAGCCAAGAAAAGTAAGAGTCAGGAAGAAGAGAGAAGCAGGAGACTAGGTCAGAAGTTCAATGCAAGTCATGCACTTTAAGAACTAGTTAGAGGTTTCAGAAGTGGTTCCCATATATCATGACAGGTAAGATGTAATTTTATTGCAGGACTTGGGAGAAAGTTATGAGAACAATGTACTAGACAGTCTATATTCATAGGCAGAGCCCAAGAGACTTGTGAGGGAATATAAGTCAGGCGTTTCATGATGAAATGAGATAAAGCTTTTTAAGACCAATGCAGTCAGAATTGACTGCAATCTATTAAGCTCAAGATTGAAAAAGAAATCAGGGTCCCATCAAATTCAGTGGCAAAACTCCTGTTGACTTCAACAGAGCCAGGATTTCATCCCAAATGTTTTTTGGGGTTTGTTTGTTTTTTTTGTTTGTTTGTTTTTTGGGGGGGGGGGGAGGTTAAAGAGAAAAGGACAGATGAAATTACTTTGAAAAGGCTAAATAAAAATAACACAAATCTTATGTAAGTTCCCAAATTTAAATTTAAACTAGTCAAGAGTTTTGGAAGTTGAGTATGCTATGCCAAGGATCAGGCATTTTCTACTCTGATTTTCATTATCGTTGAAATCCGAAAATACTATTTTCAGAGCATAAGCATTTGAAGCCAAGTACTTCATGATAATAAAGCTGAGAAACTGAATACATAAAAAACTGAATAAGTAGAGTTGAAGTCACAGTATGACTAGTTTTAATCCCCTAACAGCAAGATCAGCAAACCTAAAGTTCAATATATTTTCCAGTCTCCAACATATTCAAGACATTAGTACCGACTCATCAACCTATTAGCAGTAAAATAAACTAAAAGCCCTATTTTCTGAAATAAATTGAATATAACCTAAGGGATACAAATTAAGGGCAATGGGTTTCTGTCCTTAAGAGTATGGTTTTGAGTACTTTACTTTTCTCCAGCTTAAGTTCAAATGCTAGTACAGCCCTTCGTTTTGAGATAAGCTGAATGCTACCAGTATGTAGTATACATTTTACTGCAATGGGCTTTTCACCCGAGTGTTTATAAAAATGATGGGCTTCACCTTCTGTAAACCCAATTTACTTCCAGATGAGAGGGAGAAAAGGCAACCACCACCAATGAGGGGGTTAGGGATTATGGTCTAGTCCAGAATACTTTCCCCTTCCCTCCCTCCCCTCCACTTTTTAAATGTGTGTGCACAAACTAAACATTCACCAACACTTTTAAACAGACTGCTCCACTGTTCAAAATGGAAATACCTCTACTGATGTGCAACATTTCTAAATTTATGGACTTGCATACTGAGGATATTACAATAGC